CAACGATCCTAAAACTCCTAATCCCCAAAAAGCCGGTAACGCACTTGTAACGCCTATTTTGTTCCTGGTGGCGGCGCCGATTGCTTACCATCAGGTGATCCGTCTGTCCGTTTACCGGCTTATACCATAAAAAAAATCCGTCTTTTCTTTTGTTTTATTAAAGCGTTTAGATGAATTAGGCTAGTTTGATTAACTGGTAACTGTAAATGCCTAACCAGCTTTCGCTTGTATTTCAAAACGCATAAACTATTTTATTTGTTTCTCAAAACACTTAAAAGATTTAAGGAAAACCTTCCAAGTCACAAGACACAAGGAACCTATACTTGTGTCAAATTTCATCGTTTTGCGACAAGGTGTTTCTAATATGCGTTGTCTGTCAGTCGTTCAATCACTTACAACGAAAGAATTTGTTATCAAATATTCATAATTACATTATATATTATAACAACCGCATTCCAAGTATATGATAAAATATTTTTTATGATTTTTTTTTGGCAAATGATCAATCATCGGCAGTTTAAAGGCATTGCCCCGACACAGTCTAAATTAATGCGTAGAACGTGTTCGAAATTTGAATTATTTTTATTTATAGGCTCTAAAACGATGATACTTTCAATTGGTGAATGTTAGACACAATTTGTTTAAAACGGACGTTTTAATCGGTTAACGTTTTGGTATTACATACAGTAGTCATTTTCAAAGAAGAATATCTATGTATTAGCTGTAGTAAGATGGATATCGTGGTGACCCAGAGGTTTAAGAGTTGCGGGTTCGAAACCTACCAACAGCAAGTACAAATGTGACTTTTTCAGAGTTAGACACCACTGACAAACGGTGAAGGAAACCGTCGTGAGGAAACCTGGGCTTATAACTTCTAATTATAAGTTTGAAAGCGCCAACCCGCATTGAGCAAGTGTAGTGATTAATGCAAACCTTCTCCGTGTGAGAAGAGGCTTTGCTCAGCAGTGGGCATTTATAGGCTGTTGATGACGATAATGAAGATGGATCTCTGTGACTGGGTCAGCTCATAGGACTAAATTATTTACATGAAATTTACATAAAGTGTGGGCACCTATACAGGTAGATACTAACTTGTAGTGTCGTGGATACTAGGTGACCGACAAATGATAGCAAAGGTCTTACTCGAGAAGTAATTAATAATAATAATAAATCTTTTATTTCGATCATTTTTCTTTTATCCATAGATCATGTTAGTATTGTTAGATTTATCTGTTCTCGTTTTTAGGTATGACTGTCGCCACCCAATGTCTGCAATGGACAGTCTGGTCTGGCAGCAATCATTTTCAGAATGCTGTTGTCACTATCGTGCAGGTGTCGCAGTAAGGAGGCCGCCTTTTTGCGCATGATTGCGTGGAAGCCATGCCATGCCAGCCTCCGTAAACATTTTAGATGCGCTACAACGCCATGGCAGTCCCAACAGCATTCATTAAAGGTTTAAAAATATCATACCAATAGTCGTTGAATAAATAAAACGAAGAATTAATATATTCATTAAAAGCTTAGTTTTTTTTTAGATTTGTAGGTAAATAACGAATAATTGGCGTAGTGTATCTTAATCTTGATTGTTTAAATCGATTTTGTATTAATGAATGGGAGGAAAATTAATATTTTCGTTTTATTTATTTGTTTTTACGTTAAATATTATGAAATAGGTACCTAATTACGTTTTTTCCTGGTCATTTTTGTATCCAGTTTTTTGTGTGTATCCAGTTTTGATTTATTTAAATATAGAAAAAGCAAGGTATAAGTGAACATACTAGACTAAAGCTAATAGTAATAGGAGGAAGAGTCCTTCGGTGACTCGAAACTGGTAGAACTTTTCTCAATATATTTACATGAATGACTCGTAATTATTTAGTTAATTTAGACTGACTAAATGAGATTTACTTATAAAAACATGGGACGTTAAAAATTTTTGACTTTGGGGTCCTTAATAATTATAACAATTGACGTAGATAGGTTCCATAGTAGATAATAATAAAGTCAATAAATCTCCATACGTTTGCACTTAAAAAGGACCTCACGTGTTCTCACCTCTAGAAAAACCGTTTGTTATTTTTTATTACTTTTTTTGGGACCACGTCACACTGCAATGTCAGTTTGTAAATTATGCATAATTAATTACGTGTAGGTGCAAACATATGTAATGAAGCATGCACAAACACACAGACATGTGCAAATAATTTTTGCTTGAAACTAATATTTAAATCTAGTGGGGTTTTACCGAACAGACTAGTGAAAAAAATATGTCGTGTTTTTCTATGCTAATAAATGAAAATTACTATTTTGTTTGTTTGTACCGAATAGGCTCTACAACTGCTCAGCTTATTTTGAAAATTCTTTCACCATTAGAAAGCTTAATTTTGTAAGGAGTAAGACAGAAAAAAGTAAATTCTTGTAGACGAAACATTAATAAATGTAACAATAAATGGTGATTATTAAATAAAAAAATAAATAAACATAGTTATGGTATAAAAACATAAAATAACAGATTAATATTCAAATAATACATAATAACATAGGTATAAATGTGTTTGATATCGAATAATACTAAAACTACCTAACAACATTGCCAATTTTTGTTTTTGTTATTTAAGTTGCGTAAATTAATTGAATTTGAAATGATTTTCGTTTAAATATTTAATAATCAATAGACACAAGCTATTATTTTATGTAGAGATAAATATTCGTCCTTGTAATTTTTAGTTTTTTTTTCTAACGCTGAAATACTCCACGTCACTCAAATTGAAGTCCCGCTTAACGATAATTTTGTCACTATATTTTCTTTGTAAAATGACTTAGGTAAAACCATATTTAAGTGCAACTTAAACTTGGGTAGCCTTTTAGTATTCAGGCATAATCTATATCTATATATAAAAGAAAGTCGTGTTAGTTACACCACTTATAACTCAAGAACGGCAGAATAGATTTGGCTGAAAATTGGTAGGGAGGTAGCTTAGAGCCAGGAGACCGACATAGGATACTTTTTAACCAATACTTTTTTTTTACTTTTTACCGAAAATCACGAACGAGGACGGGAAAAAATGGGATTACGCGTACGAAGTCGCGGGCAGACGCTAGTATGTCATAAAAAACATCGCCGGTTATGTATGATGCCTTTAATAAATGCTTACCTACATTACTGAAAGAATTTATTTTTTACACAATTTTTCGGCTTTTTTACCTGGTCATTGGCCGTGGTAAAATATTATTTTCAGAACCTTTACAACTATAGAAACAACGGTAGTTGACACATAAGACAAAACGAATGAGACATTGAAGTTTTTCTTACTGTAAAGTTCAAAATAATTTAAAAAACCGTTTGTACGCTGAACATTATATAATATGTATACACAGTAGATATCATATTACTGTTAAGTATATAAATATAAATATTATTAATGTCACACGTAGAAATATATGACTCGTCTTTAGTGTGAGGTGTCTGATAATGAATCCTGGTTTGATTATACTTTACTAGCTCCTGGCCTGGGCTTCACCCACCGTTCCCGTAGAATTTAATGCCTATAATAAGCTATACCAGACTACAATCTACCCCTGTTCTAAATTTCATCTCCATCCCTTTATTCGTTTTTATGTGATTGAGTAACGAACACATTTTTTAATGGGTCAAACAAGCGTCGCCACATCCTCTCAAAACCGCTGCAACTCCTGTAAGCCAGGATCTACAGTAGATACAACCATGAAAACACCGGAACACTAGAATCCGGCGCGTCGCAGGGCATGAATGGTCTTGGTTCCCGCAACGAAGTGAATCAGAAGATATTATAAGAGGAGAAGAAAAAAATTTTTTTTTCCTAATGTGATGTTCATTTATGTGCTTTTTCTTCTATTTCTGATATTGTTACTGTTTGATTCTTTACAATTTCTCTTTGTGTGTGTGTTGATGTAATTAGTGTAAAGCCGTGTTAACGTAACAAAAATAATAACATAAATGAAAGAACTATCTACACTGCATACACAGGAAAGGCGTGATGCTACTTACATAATATTTTCCTGAAAATATGTATGTGTTAATTTCCTGTAGATTTTTGTCCTTACCTACCCAATACGAAAATGAAACCTATTTTTTTCCTTGGTCATCGCAACACGCATGAACAAATGTGTAGTTTTATGCTATTTTTTTTTTTGTTATTTTATTGACTAGAAAAAGGAAGGAGGGGATTATTATTTATTTATAAATTTATTATGAAAGATTTTATTTAATTTTTATATAAATTTCTAAGGACGAGCCGACGCAATATTCTAATTAATATCACTATTGGATACCCAAAGATTTTGAAAATCATGTCATAATTATTATAACGGGAAGCGACACAAAATCTATTCACAAAATGTATTAAATAAGTAATTAGATATATCATTAGCATGTTCATGTGAAAACATGCAGTTTCAACTATTTGTTAAGGAAAATATCGAACTCACATACCGCCATACCGGCTTATGTAGTTTACAGAATTACATGTTCGTTTATACGTGCATTGTAATTTTCTTTGGCTGTTTCATCTTTAAAACAAAAATATTACACTGTCCCACTTAATAATTTTGATAAAGGGTTATTTTGCAAAAGGGTATAAGCAGTACAAAGTGCTACGTTATGTTATTATCATAACAATCTATTCCATTTCCATTGCTGCCTTACCCAGAAATTTTGTGGTTACCTAAAATTTTTGTCTCACCCGAGAATTGAACCCGACTCATCACAGTTCAGAAGTGGCTCTTTTTTACATCCTAGTAATTGCTTTTATTTATTATAGAAAATGATTAAAATTTATGCCAATTTCAATTTTCAGTTAGGAAAGTCCTAAAATACGTAATTTGCATACTAAAAATTAAAATACAAATAAAATAATATTACGATTCGACACCAAATTGCAAACACTAATATTATTTACAATTACACCTATTATTTACGATTACGCGAGTAAACAATAAAACTAAATAATTAAAATACCTACCGTATAAAACACGAATCACATAAAATCACTTCCAGAGTCATAAAAATTCGGAGAAAAAAAATCACAATTCCACAAACACGTTTATCGGTACGATTAGTACGAGTTGCGCGCGCGCATAAATTCGACTGAGCGATCTATGGCACTCAACCTTACCTATATAGTGATCTAGCAAACTTTCGGACAAATCTATTGACGCACTAGTAGTAGATTAATAGTACGAATTAATATTTAAATATCTGTTTTAAATGTCTACATTTTTTTTCTCGCGTAGACAATTTGTAGACATTTTTCGAGTTGTAGGTAGGTAATGTAAATATACATGAATAGTTTGTAATTTGGTGAATCTGATTTCTATGCTCTGTGAATCTGACTGCCTCGTTAGCCAAAACGTCGCAAGTGCGACTTCCGAATAAGAGGTCTTGGGTGCGATTCCCGAGTCAGGCAAAGTACAATTGGTTTTTTTTTTCTCAGTAGTAGCACGATGTTTGAACCACACATACATTGTACAGTGGCATTAATTGCCGTAACGTGACCTCTGCCTACCCCTGCTGGGATAAAAGGCGTGATGTTATGTATGACTCCTATGCGAAAGGTCCCATAGTACGTATTTTGTATTCGTAAAAGTTTTTAACCGACTTCAAACAAAAGTAGACTTCTCAATTTCTCAATTTGTATGTATGTTTGAGCGAAGTTAACTCGCGAATGGTTGAAACAATTTTGATGCGGTTTTCAGAAAAATATTCGTTATACTTAGGAGAATATTTTTGTATAATAATTAACCGACTTCATAAAAGGGGATGGGGTTGAAGTCAGCTTTTTTAAAATGTAGTTTATAATTCTTTTTGTTTTTGAAAATCAAGTTCAGTGGTGAGTGTTGTACTTTTAGGGATGATAATGATACATTCGAGTTTTAAACTGTCAAACACCAAGCGGTCACCGGTGACCGCAACCTATTGTTCTATAATTGTGTCTACAAAACCGGTACTCGACGAGTTAATTTGTGCGATTGCGACTGTGCGACAGTGAGTCTCGGGCTCGATTCCCGTGCGTAGAAAAATACTACTAGGTTTTTTAAGAAAAAATCTCAGTAGTAGCACGGAGTCTGGAATTGTGCCCGGTAGGTATAAGGCATTAGGCTCACCCCCTATTACATGGGACTTATAATATAAATGCTGAAAGTAGGTATTACATTATACAGTGGTATTAAGTGCCGTAATGTGCCCTATCTCCTCGGGGATAAAACGCATGGTGTTATGTTATATATAACCCTAAAAAAATTTCTACTATAAGTATATTATAATATTATGTATAAGAAAATTAAGTTAATTTATGACGTCAATGTAATGTTTTGAAATCAAAACGTGTTTAAATTTGTTATGTGATGTTATTGAATGAATAAATAAATAAAATTACTACTTTTTTTACGAACTTTCCATCTGCGGTCCACGTGGTCAGAGCTTTACTACTTTATACTAGCCTTTATCATAGTCTTGACTTCGATAACAAGTGTGTCTCCGTGCAAACGCTTCGTTGCGATGTGAAAAAAAAACAAAACATACACTTTTTCTTTGCACTCTTAAAAATAAAAAAAAAATAAAAGTAAAAATTGTTTATTGTACAAAATTTCACAATATTACATTCACAGAATTGCGGTAATTACATGAACGAGTGTTAATTACGATCGATACTGACACTGCCCTCCGAACTAATAAGCTTGTATTTTGGAAAACAGTGATTCAGGCGTGGAGTATATAGTATGTCACAAAGTTGCATTACATGTCGCTCAATAATGAAGTGAATGTCATGAAAGTGAATGAATGAAGTGAATGGACAAAAACAAAAATAATAAAATCTAAAGGGAATGTTAAAAGGACTACTTAGGTTAATTTTTTGGAGGGTACCTGCTTGTTACGGAGTATATGTTATTTATGCATGTGTGTGTATGTTCGCGGCGCGGGAGTATGTGTGTGTATGCGTCTGTGTGGGTAGGTTATGATATATACGTAAATAAACCTTCAGTTTCATTATAATCCATTTGCTGAAGCCAATCACTGATTTTCCTTGTGCCTGGGTCCTATGTCCTTCCTTCCAACATCTCTTACTCTGTCCAAGTACCTAATAGATGTTATTCACAGACAGGCTTTTTAACTCGTCGAGTACCGGTTTTGTAGACACAATTATAGAACAATAGGTTGCGGTCACCGGTGACCGCTTGGTGTTTGACAGTTTAATCGACTCTAAGAACAGTATTGTTTTTTGAAATTAGTCTGATTTTGGGTGATATTTTAGCTGTATATTTTACGTACACTTATTGTGTTAAAAATAGCAGTTGGTACAGTCATCGGCAATTGGGTACATGTCAACTATACTCGGAATTTTAATTCGATTCCAGATTTGACAATTTCAGTGTTGCAACGTTATGACAAGTACTAAATAGTGACGTTGCGAAATTATTCGATATGAAAATGCAATATTTCTGGATCGATTTTTCTCGTTTATAATTTTACTCTCGTATACTAAATATATCAGGAAATTAAATATTTCTGAACCGATAATTTAGTTTTGACGATTAATTAACGATCTGAGACTTTTCTTTTATAACTGTGTGAAATAAATGAAAAAATGTAATCATGAAGGAACATGACAAATAAAACAAATAGATGTATTATGGTAATAAATTATTTTATAAATTGTTGCCGTCATCGCTATCGCTATCCTGTCACTTTCTGTAACATTGATTTTTTGTGTTCATCACTACACTATTATATGTGGTATCATTATTTCACAAAATGACAGTAGCTATTGTCAAATCTGGAATCTAATTAAAATTCTGACTATAGTCGAAACTTTTTTCGAACTGTCAAAAACGACAGTTTTCTATGAATTTTGTACGTGATTGTGTATTGTGACGTCACATTTTTTTTAGCGTAAACACGATACTTATTTCTTAAAAAGTACTGGAAAAATACTATAATGAAGTTGGCCATAAAATCAATTAATGAAAGAGTGATTATTATTTTATATTTTATTGCATTGAACAGTCGAAATAATTTATTTTTTATTAAAGCAAGTACCCAATTGTAGTCCAGCTGAGCAACTTCTTTTACCAATTTTTTTGTTTTTATTATTATATGTAGGTACTATACATACATATAATATCACCAAATTTTTTTCGTTATAATTTGACGTATTTTTAATAACAGAACTTAAATTCCAGATCTATTATAGCCATACATGGTAATTAGTTTAGGCGTTTCTATACCATTTAAGTATCGCCTTACTAATAATTATGTTAATGTATGTATTAAAATGTATTTATTTCTTCTGTTGCTAAGAAGAGTATGTATAATATATGTACGTCGTATAAAAACTGTGTACCCTATTACCTAAGGAGAATAAAATTCAGCATAGTAGTTTATGCGGAAAACAGTGCAAAACCTAATATTTATTATAAGAAAAAAACGTAAAATAAATTACAAAATTAGTAAATAAAATATTTCAAACATGAATTACATTGCACTGATTCTACCCAGTTCCAACACAGGTTCAGTTTTGAGTGATAATATACTTGAATGACGTACACAAAAACAGAGTAGCTATATGCAACTTGATATTTGTTATGATTTTTTTGAATGTAGCATTATATGCCTGCCGAACCGTAGCTGAACGGATCTTCGGGAACACAAGGCGATATGGTATTTTTTTTGTTAAGGGGCGAAAATCATCCAATGACTGCTCCCGCCTGGGTGAGGCGGGAGGGAGTGTCAGACTCTTACTGACTAAAAACCACCCCGTTCTTTCTTCTGCACGTCGAGCCGGAGTCCCGGTTACCCGTTAGGTTCTCCGCGACTCCGAATCGGCATCGGCCCTATTGGGCCCCATCTGTGGTGGTCTGATGGCTCTTTGAGGCGCGCGCGGAACGCGACGCGCCGTACGCTCGGGTCTGTTTCTGGTCGGACGGGGAGCCACCCATGCTCGCCGTCCGCAGGCCCGCGCTTACGGTGGCCGGAGATCGTCCCGCGATCCCCGACGCCCGGTGTGTCCTTCGCGATGGCTGGGTTGCGAGGAGGCAGCGCTTCGCTGCCTCACGCGTCCCGCCTCCTCCTTAGCTAGCATGACTGCTTCGCAAAAGGAGGAGACGGCATCCCACCGGGGATCGCGGGACGATCTCCGGCCACCGTAAGCGCGGGCCTGCGGACGGCGAGCATGGGTGGCTCCCCGTCCGACCAGAAACAGACCCGAGCGTACGGCGCGTCGCGTTCCGCGCGCGCCTCAAAGAGCCATCAGACCACCACAGATGGGGCCCAATAGGGCCGATGCCGATTCGGAGTCGCGGAGAACCTAACGGGTAACCGGGGCTCCGGCTCGACGTGCAGGAGAAGGAACGGGGTGGTTTTTAGTCAGTAAGAGTCTGACACTCCCTCCCGCCTCACCCAGGCGGGGGCAGTCATTCGATGATTTTCCCCCCTTAAAAAAAAAAAAAAAGCGCTGGCGTCTGTTTCTGGTCGGACGGGGAGCCACCCATGCTCGCCGTCCGCAGGCCCGCGCTTACGGTGGCCGGAGATCGTCTCGCGATTCCCGACGCCCGGTGTGATTAAAAAAATCATAGTGCAGCGTTCTTTTTTTTATGAGGATCGCTTCACGTAGCTTTGTAGTATAGCGTAGCGTCGTAGCTTGACGTAGCTTCGTAGCATGATGTAGCGTCGTTGTATGGCGTAAATTCGTAGCATGGCGTAGTTTTCGTAGTACGACATAGCTTCACAGTATGGCGTAGGTGGGGTAACGTGGGGTTGTATAGGAACGAGTTTTAGCGGCGTAGCGTTGTATAGCATAATTAATTATATCCAGGAGTATTTTATAGAGATTTAGGCTCAATTTTAACAACAGTAGCATTCGTAGAAATTATTATAAAGATGCGTTTGATATGTTCTTTATACGCATATGTATACTTCCCATAAATGTGCAAATATGCTAGATAATTATACGAAGCTTAGATTAAAGTATATGCTCACGTGAACAATACGACTGACAGAAAGTTCAGTAAGGTCAATGCGCACAATGGAAGAAATCACATCTCAGTCGTAGCAAAAACATCATATTGTTTTTTA